TTAAAAAATTTAAATATTAAAAAAATTAGTAAAAATCTTCGCAGGCAAATTTGTCTGTGTTACAATTTAAGGGATAGTATAGATGATACAAAATATAGTCTATTTATAATAAATTATTAAACACAAGAACAGGTTAAACAATTTCATTGGACTATTTATACAAACTAACAATGATCAAATTTTAAGCAATATTACTTTAGTAATAGACTCAAAAATATTATAATAGCAATAGACAAAAACTATATATTTTATTTAATTACTTTTATTAGAGCAATTATATTAGATATTTAGAAATTTTAGTTTTAAAAGCTTAAAATTTTTATTAACAAAATTTAGAAATTTTATACAACTTAAAAATTAAAAACTGAAAAATTTATTAAGAAAAAAGAAAGAAAAATAAAATATAGAACAAAGAAGAACTGGAACAACCACCAACTCAACCAAACTAAAACTCGAACTACTCTTCACAATACTCTGCAATGCCAAAATCTTCATCTCTAAATCATTATTTATTGTTTTCAAGTCTGCAATCTGAACCTTTAACCTATTTCTTTCTAATTGCAACCTCTTAAACCAAACATCATTTTCATAATTCTACTAAACTAGTTCAACCAGATCATGCTCTTGTAGCTGTGTCTAGAGGTTCACCACTTGATTTTGCAACCCCTAGATAATAGCCAGAACAGACTGACTTCTAGTTGTTCGTAGCATCTAAGTTTTGATGAAAATGTCATTAGAAAAAGAATGCTTTTCCAAAATAAAATATATTTAAAAATAAGAGTATAAAAAAAAGAAAAAGAGGAAATAATAAAAGGAAAAGTATCCACTAGGGCCATACAATCAATCATACAAGTTATAAAGAAAAATCAATTATTCAAACATGAAAGATTGTTAGCTCATCCAGACATGGAAGACCAGTAGTTGCTACAAAAATGTAAAGCTAACAAGGTTTAGTATTCGGCTTAAAAAGTATACCCACCTTTGACAAAGAAAACAAAAAGACAAAACAAGCAAGACAAGAGAAGTTATTAAGAAACTAAAAAAGAAAAGAAAAGAGTATTAAACAAAAAAGTTTTTAATATAAAAAAATTATAGAAAAGAATAGTATCAAGAAGAAGGTTTGTTTGTGAAATTTTTAAAAAACAAAACACACCAAAGAACAAGAATATAAATAAGAATTACAACAATGGTTAAATTTTTTTATGCCAAAAAAAACTATTATATGGCATAAATAAAGAAAATTATAAACAATAATGGTGTAATTTATAAATTTAGAAAAGAAGAACAATTTAGAATACAAAGCTAATTTTAGCACAAAGAATTGCATGAAGTCTGAAAACCTTCTAATTTTAAGGAAGAAACAGACAAAGAAACTATTGAAGTACATGATTCTAGTATGTAAAAATTCGATAAAAAAAATATATTTACTAAATTAGTATTACTATAATTATTTATCTCTTTAGAAAGAAGATTTGAAAGAAAGACTTTAGCAAAAATAGAAATAATATTTTATAATATATTGTCTATTTTAAATCAGCTATAACCAAAACACGTGATTAAAATCTAATAACTTTATTGAACAATTACAAAGATAATGCTCGAAGAAATACTAAAAAATCTCTAAAGAAATAGAAAGTTCAATTCAATTTCAAGATACAGCAAAAAGAAATACTACAAGGAGTGTGCTATTTATTACGTAATTTATACCATGGATACATGGTCAGGATCCTGATTACATTACACAAAATGGCTAATTGACCAATCAGATTTAAGAATATATGCATAATATATATATAATATATAATTTTTAAAGTTAAATAACTTTTGATCTACTGATCCGTTTTGGATTATTTAACTACCAAAATGTTCGTCTCAGTGAGATGAATCTAACAAGCCTAAAATCATCAAAATCCAATTACAGGATCCTGAGATCACTAAAGTTTTTTATAAATTTAAAATTATAAAAGCTTTAGCAATCTCAGGATCCTGTAATTGGATTTGATGATTTTAGGCTTGTTAGATTCATCTCACTGAGACGAACATTTTGGTAGTTAAATCATCCAAAACGGACTAGTATATCAAAAGTTATTTAACTTTAAAAATTATATATATGTTGTTATATATATTATATATATAATCTAGCCAATTAGCATAGAGATCACACCATGGATGGGGTAGGCTATTAGTAAGATTTTATTACATAATAAATAGCACGCCTCTAACAGTAATCAACTTGGCAAATACTATAGAAAACTCCTACTATTATTTTTGAAAAACTAAAATTTTCAGGAAAAATTTTTAAAAGCGATAGAAAACACAAGACAATTTTTAATTTTTAATTATATATTGCACACTATATTATCTATTTTAGAGTAACTGTAATTAACACGTAATTATTACCTTATTAATATTTAAAAGAAGTAGCTAAAAAAATTTTAGTATCATTTGAACTATGGATTAATAGTCATGGCGGAGAGTTGTCATTATGCAGACCCAGGTTCAAAACTGGCTAAAGGAGCTGCCTGCTAGGTACTAAGTTCAATGTGGTTCTTAGTTGAAGATTCAAATAATTGATTTTTTTATTTTTATTATTATTATCACTATTATTATTATTATTTTATTATTTTATATATTTATTTTATTTTAAAGAAAAAGAGAAAGTAATAACATAATATATATATACAAAAGAAAGAAAAATTACAAATCAAAATCTTCATCTAAATCTACCAAACTACTATTCATACGAGTTTTTAATGCAGTAACACAAACACACAACTGATTTCTCTTCTGAACAACTCTCCAATGCTCTTCATCTCTTCTCCAACTTTCTTCTACCAACTCTGCCTTCCAAACCAAATTTCTTCTAACTTCGCTTCCAACACCATAATTCTTCTTCTTAATTGGTGATCCACCAGTCAACCAGAGAATGATCATAGTAAAATGTGACTCAAATTACTTATAAAAATTGAAGATCTTCAAATATGGCGTGCATGTATCTAAAACTTTTTTTTATACTAAATTAATCATTTTTCTAACTTAAAAGACTTTTGTAAAACTTGTTAAGATGCATCTAATAGTAGTTAGAGAGTCAAAATCAGCTTGGTGAGTGATAAGAATCTTTAAAAAATGTTTCTTTTACTATGTAAACTTCTTTGCAAACAATAGTAATGTTTGCAAAGAAGTTTATATAGTAAAAGAAACGTTTTTTAAAGATATCTCAGCACTCACCAAGTCGATTTTGACGCTCTAACTACCATTAGATGCGTCTTGACAAGCTTTACAAAAGTCTCTTAAGTTAGAAAAGTGATTAACTTAGTATAAAAAAAGTTTTAAATACATACATGCCATATTTGGAGACCTTTAATTTTTATAAGTAATCTGAGTCATATTTTACTATGATTATTCTTTGGTTGACTGGTGGATCACCAATTAAAGATCTTACTTCACACCACAACCTAATATATATTACAAAGTTAATATTTTACTGAAAGCTATTATAAATATTTATCTTCTATTCTGATCCTATACTCCAATAATAGCTTCATAAAGAGCTTTATTACTATTACTTTGCGAATGTTAGACAGCATGAGAAATATAAACACAAGGTATTTTTAATGATTATTATTATTATTATTATTGTTATTAATATTAATGTTGTTGTAGTTGATATTTGTGATATTATTAATATTAACAAAAAGAGAAAAAGAAAAAGAAAATTCTTAGAATCAGAAACCACACTATATAAAATATGCTTTATTCTAAATTAATTATAATCAACACAATATATAAAGATTTAATAATTCTATTGGACAATCAAGATAAACTATTAACTCACTGAGTTCATTTTTAAAGGTGATAGAAATGTTATAGAACATGTTAACATTATAAAATATATTAGAGATTTTATCTCCATTAGATTCAGAAGATTGTAACAATCAAAACAAGCTATAATACAAGACAAACGAACTATTAGTTAGCTAGATAATACCTTTTGTTCTTTCATACCTTTTGTACTTTTTATATCTTTTATACCTTTTATACCTTTTATACCTTTTGTATCTTTTATACCTTTTGTACCTTTTATACCTTTTATATCTTTTGTACCTTTTGTATCTTTTATACCTTTTATATGTTTAGTACTTTTTATATTTTTTATATATATTATAAAAGCTATATAAACCCTAGCTTTTACTCTTCCTTGTACAGGAGGATTTGTTCCCTGCAATGTCCTAAAATATTAAAATTCTATAGAAATAGATACCTATAAATAGCTTTGTATCTAGACATTGTATCATAAATAAATAAACATATCTTTGCCCTAAAGTAAACCATGTCTCTATACTTCTAATGAATATACCAAACTGCCCTAGTAAAGAAACATTCCACTTCTACACCGCTTCATATCTCGCCCTGTTATTTTAAAGATCCATGTCGCTGTGTGCTATATTGCAGGTGGTAAATTAAGAAGGCTATCTCACTTGTAACAATACTACCAGTTTCGCCAATATCACTAGTTTCATTAACATCACTAGTTTCATCAACATCAACAGTTTCATAAAAATTACTAGTTTTATCAACATCACTAGTTTTACTAATATTGCTAGTTTTACCAATATTATCAGTTTTACCAATATCACCAGTTTCACCAACATTATTGGTTTTACCAATATTATCAGTTTTACCAATATTACCAGTTTTACCAACATCACTAGCTTCACCAACATCACTGGCTTTACCAATATCATTGGCTTCACCAATATCACCAGTTTCACCAACTTTACCAGTTTTACTAACTTCACCAGTTTTACCAACTTTACCAGTTTTACCAACTTTACTAGTTTACCAACTTCACTAGTTTACTAACTTTACCAATTTTACAAACTTCACCAATTTCACCAACTTCATCGGTTTTACCAACTTCACTAGTTTCACCAACTTCACTAGTTTCACTAACTTTACTAGTTTCACTAACTTTACCAGTTTCACCAACTTCACTAGTTTCACTAATTAGACTATTTAGTTGTACTATGGTGCACCAGTTTCACCTGGTGAAACTAATTAGTTTCATTAGTAACACTACTCTAAACCTGCTATTTGAAGAAAGTGATAACTAGACTACTATACTAAGTTACTATATTTTTTATTTTATATAATCAACAATTTATAAAAATTGAATTATTAAATTTTTTAATCTATATTGTTATTAGTGTTCTGCAAACTCAAACCGAAATTTGAACTTGAACAGAAATTGATTTAGTGGTTTGAGTTCAGATTTACAATTTTTTAGAATCGACCAATTCCAGGTTTATAATAATAAGTATCTAGTAGGACTCATATATTTAATTACCTGCCTTCAACAAATATAAAATGTTAGTATTAGAATGAACAATATGATGATGAACAATATGATATAAACAATATGATGACAAACAATATGATAATAAACAATATATAGAAAAAATTTTTTTAAAACTATTAAATAGTATTACTTTTAGTTTAAAACTTACTTTTATACCACACAATTCAAAAAAAAAAAAAAAATAGTTTCATTTTTAAACTAGTTTTTGTTAAAACTAAGAGCAGGAGTTTATTAAAAAACTATTAAATTGTAGTGATCTCTTTTTTTTTTGCTATTATAGAAGACTTTGAAGAGAACAATTATGGTATAAGCTATTCTTCTATAGACAATAATAAAATAGACAATCTTTCTGTAAATTCTTGTATCAATAATGATATTATAAAAGTAAATAAAACTGGTATCATTATAACTACATACAAGATCTTTCATATAGAAGTAATTTATAAAAGAAAAAAAACTTCTTATACAAAATATACTTTTTGTACCTCTAAAAAATATTAATAAAAAATATTAATGGATTAACATCAAGCTTTAGAAAACATCTCACCAATCATATAGAAGAGGTACCTGAATTGGATGAAGGAATAAAGAAGCTGAATGTTTCTGTTATTGACATGCTTCAAAATTAGCAAACTGTTAATAATCATCCTAGTGAATCTTTTAATTTAAACATTTTTAAAGATCTTATTAAATATTGAATTGTTAAATGCAATTGACCATTTAGCATTGTTGAAAACAATAAACTTAAAGAAATATTTGCATATTTAGAACCTCAAACAAATGTGCTCTTTGCAAATTCTATAAAAAGATATATTATAAATAACTTTGAAAAAGAATGTTATAAGCTTATAGTGAAGTTATAGAGAATTTTCGGAAAATTTTTAGTTACAACTGATATATAGACAACAAATACCAATAAAAAATCCTTTGTAGTAGTTACTCTTCATTACTTAGATACTTTTTGAAAACTAAAAATCATTCTCTTAGATTTTATAAATATAGATGTCCACATTCAGGTAGTAATTATAAAAAGAATTAAATATAATATAATTAAATATAATATCTCTTAAATGATAAGCATTTGCAAGTAAATTTGCCTGCAATTTTTTCATTTGCAATATTATATATAAAATTTTACAAGATTTAAATTTTATATATTTAAATTTTTATTGTAATTAGCTATTCAATACTACAAACAGCTTAAACTATTACTTGCACTACTACATAATATTTATATAATATATAATATTTGCAAATCATTTATTTTTAACTAATTCCTAGTTTTTTTGAAAATTTACTATTATAGTATCTTTAATTTTCTCAGCATATCTTAATTAGAAATGTAAAATTCAATATAAAAATTAAAATTTATTGTTCAAATTTGCAACTCAAAAGTAAAAATTTAACTTTACATTTAAATAAAAAAAATAAGTATTTTTGTAAAATTTTACTATTTTTATAAGATTTTGCTTTTTTTTTTTTTTTACAAAAAAAAAAAATAAGCAAAATAAGAAATAGGTAAGATATTGTTTTTTTACCTATTTTTACACTTGATATATTGTTATTTATTTGATTTAAAAAGATTTACACTAATTTTAGTCAATACATAGTATAGTATATTTAGATATATTAAAATGTTCAATTGAGATCAGACTATCTCCCAGAGGTAATATATAATTAAGTAGACATAGTTAAGTAGTACAAATATTTCTTAAATAATCAATTTAATAAAGTATTTATGTGTATACTTTATTGATGCCAATAATTTAATAAATGACATGTTTTTATAAAGAGACTGTAGTTTTTAGATTTCTTTCATCATATATAAGAAAAGATTAAGAAATTCTTTAAAGGATTAATATCGCACTTTTTTAAAATATATAGAGCATAATTAACAAATCAAATATGTTAGTCAAATGTTAATTAATATTTGTCTAGATCAAATAAATGATTGGTCAATTTTTGTAAAAAATATAAAATGATCTATATCTAAATTTGGAAATTGCAAACAAATTTGCCTACAAAACCATTTAAGGAACAATCAAATGTAATATAATTAATAGTGATTAATTGTAATTTTTTATATAATAAATTTAATTCAATAATCGAACTCTTCCCAATGATCATTTTTACTACAAAAAAAAATCCAAAATTCTTAAAAAACTAGCATCCGTAAAGGTTGAAACAGACAGGGAAAAAATCTTTAAGCTCTGTAACTCAGCAGTTGTTATTTAGAGGTAGTTCTTATACGCTACCTGCTAACTTTCTTAGAGTTTATCACTCACTGTGGGGGCTGGGCACTTGTTGTTTAGAAATAGTTCTCATATGCTATTTGCCGACAAGCCCAGAGTTTATCACTTACCTGAAAAAATAAAGAGAGTACCTGTACCTTCCTATAGATTCAGTGTGTTGAGTAAAGAAAATACACACTCCTTTACTAAACAAAACAAAGTGGTTTCATCTCTTTTCTCCACCTCCTCGCCACTCTTCCAAAATTTCCCACAAAAGTAGGCAAAATAGTTTACTCCCTCCAAAAGATCGGCATTGTTTACTTCTCCCAAATCTGGATAGTTCCAGCAGACTGCGATCACGTGTCTGGTTTGTTTTGTTTATAAACTGTGCTGCTTCACATAATACCAAGGTTGGCCGCTTATATCATTTAGGAGTCTGGATAACCTAGTCGAAAAATTTACTTGCTAAGGCGAAGCTTTACAATAGAGATATACAAATATCATATTTGTTATATAATTTTTTTAGCCTGGCACAGGTTATAGTAGTGCCAAAAAAGACAAAATTTTTTGCTGTCCTTTTTGTTTTCTTTTTTTTGTAATTTTTTCTTTTATATTCTCTTTCGTATTTGTTTTTTTTTTATATATTCTTCTTTGTTTTTTCTTTTTGTTTTTGTTTTTGTCGTTTTCATTTTATCTGTGTTTTTTGTTTCTTATCCCCATTTGTTCTATACCTCTTTGAAGAAAGAAAAATGTTAAGAAAAGGCAATCTTGACAAAGCTAGCAATAAGCTTTTAGTGATTTTTTTGGGGAGTCATCTAGCAAGTTAGATGCCAGAGATGAATGAATTATTGCTGTGGCAGATCGCACTTGAGCACTATTATAAGCAGCCGAGTAAGTCTTTATTGAAGAGTAGGAGGGTAGAAGGCATTGAGTTTATTGCAAGCTTTTTGTTCGGAAACCATGTATTTAGATTACACACTCCTAATACAATAAAGGCAGGATTACCAAATTAAAAAAAATAAAAATAAATTTAATTAGTAAATTATTTAATAGTTGATTATTAATTAAAGATTTTTTTATTGACTTTTACAATTTTTATCAGGTCTTAAAATTGCAAATAATATAGAAGAGTGCCTTTAGTCAATAGAAATAATATTAAAACTTATAACTATTATGTATAATAATACTGTTTCTAATATTAAATTCATACAAGATCTTTTTTAATTCTCTAGAACAGGACACAATTCACTAACTCTTCTCGACGATCACTTGTACCAAATTTTGCTAAAACAAAACTCGAATTTTTTCAAAACCGTGCTTTTTATCATACTCTTTTAATTAACTTTTATTGTTCTACACCCCATTTTACATATAACTA